TTGGGTGGTAGCTCGCTTAGATGTCTCGTCGCTTGGTACCGCTCGGTACGTATCTCGCGCCATCCATCTCCAGGTTGTTTACTACGGAAGGTAAAGTACCTTTGTACCGTGTTATTACTTTGTAGATGCATCTGCTTCCTTCACACCTCACCGTTGACATTCAACTTCTCTCCGAATATACAGTCGTTCCCGCATCCTCACCGAGCTAGACATGACAAGAGAACCCATACGGGCCTTGGCAGGCCTGATTATCTGTCATTCTGCGTAGGGCAGCACGCTACTCAAGCATCAAGTGCCTACCTAAGGTACCTGAAGGCTGATCGCCCATGTCTTCTTCGCTTCGCGCCACGCCACCCCAGAACTCTCTCTGTCTCTCTCACTATCTCTGTCACCCGTATCTGAAAGGTACAGAGGTACCTCGCTACTTCTCTCTCTGGGCTCTCCCTCTCCTTCTCCCTCTCCCTCTCCCTCTCCCTCTCGTCCGTTTCGGATCCGGGTGCGGTGCCTCATCAACGACAAACCATCGCCTGTCTCAGCCTAGAAACCGAGGGACTTTTCATCCAAGGAAAACCGGGTTGCGTTGGTGCACGTTGACGACACTTGCGTTATTAAGCAGCATTTTCCCTGCACATCACTTCTAATTATCCAAAAGTGCTCCGTCGTCCGACTCTTCAATGCAACGCAACCCCAGAGTAACTGCGGCGTCGACCGGTCCGTTGCGACTCTTTGGAAGCATAACCACATCTGCCAACCATGTCAACCTCAAACTGTCAGCACGCACTGCACTTGGTTGGCGCTTTCTCCAAATGCCTACTCCGAACATGCCTCGGTGCCGCCACATGTAGTCGCAGTATCCGCCGACGCCGCCGAGATGAGGGTCCCAGGTGGAATGGAATGCCCTGGGCCTGGTGGCGGCCTTCTTTCTTGCTTACCGGCGGCTTCCCGCCATCACCCTAGCCAAGATCTTCCCTCGCCTCGTGCTCGACATTGCAGACACCAAAAGTTCCTCTCGAGGATTCCTCAACTACGGACACTGTATCTTGCCAGTACGAAAAAGGGGGGGGGGGGGGACAACGCTCCTATGGCACCTTATTTTACGGCTGCAAAAATGCAGAGGCCAAGACCTTCGGCCGGCCCCAATGACGGAGGACCCAACAACGGGTGGGCAAGTCGGACTCGGAGCCACGGAAAACTCCCAGCTACCGACATCAAGAACGAATGGGGAGCCACACATCCGTCCCCAACCACAAGGATGGATGGACATGAACGCTAGACACTGAAGCGGGCCAGCGGCGCCATCACTAATGATTTTCGTTACGACACACAACCGACAAAGACCAACGACTGGCTCTAGCCTGTCTCTCTTTTTCCCCTGTTTGTTAGCGTCGATGCGACTGCTATTGACGGCTGGCTGGTGGGCTGTTACTGAGCCCGAAAACCACGTCTCGTTCTTGGTTTGTCTAGTCTTGTCTCGTCTTGCCAGTTGATCGTCAATCCAAGACTCTGAGAGGCTGTTAAATCCGCCGCCAAGATGAGAGTTTCGTCGGCAGGCATTGACCTTGGCCAAAGGCTCTGTCTGATTGCTGAATACCTATCACTGCGCCTGGCCGGTCATCTGGTTGTCACGCTCCATCCTTCCTTCAGCGCTACTCTGAGATATGCGCCTTGGACGCTCTCACAAAATGAAATGAAGAGAGGATCTATGGGTTTGCAAATTGGCAACGGCCCCTCAGATCATACGATGACATAAGAACACGAAGAAAAAAGACCCCTCGGCGGAAGAAGAATTATTGATGTCGTTTAGTACAGCACTTCAAAACACGATACATGTGCAGATTTTGTGCATGGCTCGGCAAGCCTCGGTGCGGAAATCCTTCTCTTGAGCTCCATCATCACGCCGAATCAAGCTCCTCTTTGCCCTCGCTGCACGCTGTGCTGCCGGCTGCAGGCCAGCTCAGGTCCGGTCCAGATCTTCGCAGCCCCCGTACCGTCACAGTGTACCCAGGGGGATGGGATCCGCCTAATGAAGAGATGCCGGACTCGTCTTATTAGCCTCTGCTATCGCTGCAGGGGATCCAACCTTGTCGTCATGGAGCCCGCAAGGACGTTGTAAGAACTACTTTAGTCCCTCCCAGGACAGGCAGGTAGGTACTTTTGCGCCACTGGCTCCCACGCCGGATGGTCAAGTACCTCTTCCAACTTCTCAGTTCTCATCAGTCCACACATTGCTTCATTGCGGTTGATGGCCCTGTGCTGTTTCGACTCGAGAGAAGAAGAAGAAGAAGACCGGCGGGCCAGCAACTCTATCCGATGCCCATAATGCACAGTGTTTGAGTAAACCTAACTCCCCAACACACTATATCTGAGCTGGGATTGGGCCGATTTCCTTGGGGTTCATCCAAAGTCTACCGGATAATCATTAATCATACTTTATACCCACGAGCATGTGCAACGCGAACATACTATGTGTACATTGACAAACGCGGCCAGCCCGATTACATACCTACTTTACCTCTTCGTCGTTTTCACAATCTCAGAATTGACGTGATGGGTATCTCTTAGAGACCAAACCCCGCGCGGAGATCCACAACCACCTCTCTTGGAATGAACCAACAACCGACACACCGTTCTCGTTATTTCCTTTTCTCGCCCGGCAGTCCGAGCCTATCTCGTTACGTCCATGCCGCCATCTGGGCTCATTCTGGGTGGGTCTTAGTCAGGGAATATTGACCCTCATCGTGCATCCTTCAGACGTCCAACAAGCAAAACAACGAAGAATGACACGAAGCACTCGCCGCCGCCGCTGCAGTGCATCGGCCCCGGTTTAGCCAATATCCATACGTAGTAGACTGGCAATCTCGTCGAGCTTCACGTATCCTTTGCCTTTTACATTTATTGCCTCGACATGTACCAGCAAGACATGGACACAGGCGATTCAAGGCATTCAAAACTATAATACTCGGTACTCAAGGGATCAATGAACTTTTTCATGAGTTTTATGCCTTTTCCCTTTTGACCCTTCTGGGCACTTCTGCTTGAAGGATTTGTACGCTCATTCCAGTACAAAGTATTGTACTCTCTGTCACGTCGTTGCCATAATTTGGACCTTCGTCAGAACTTGACCAAGCCTCGCACGTTGTCGCCATCACTGCCTCCCCCGTCTTAACCTTCCCGTTCCCCCCGGCTTCCAAGGATCCCTAAGGCAAAAAACCCCTACCACCTCTCAATTATCCCTGACCAGCCCTCCAAGAGCGTCTACCGGGAGCTCTCCCTTCGCGGGTTCTTTCTTCTCTGATTTCCATGTCACCCCTCTGCTGCAACTCACCCCCCATCATCCACTCTCTCTCCTGGACCCTGGTAAACATGCAGCCAGGATTCCCTCATCGAGCATAACTTGACCCAACTGCCCCAATTTACCATCGCTGTTCCTTATTGCGCTGCAACGCTGGGTACAGGCCCTATCCGTCACACTAATGCCATGAGGGAATGCGAGCTGTGTCTCCCTCCGAGATACGTACTCTACACCGTGGTGTAGGTATGGACACACTACAAAGTACATGGCCTGGAGAGATGGAGAGAGAGAGAGAGAGAGAGAGAGAGAGAGAGAGAGAGAGAGAGAGACTTCGCTCGTCTTCCTCTCGCAACCGTCGACGAGACCACTGTCCCACGCCATGCCGTCGGTGCCGAAGAGACGCTAAGTCGAATTAGCTTGGCTTTCAACCCCCCCATCCATGATCCTAGCCAAGCCGAAAAGATGGCGGAGACACGGGCAAGGGTCATGGAAGATGCACCGCACGTGTGTGCGCCTAGAACGAACGGTACTTCCTACCCGTCGTATACACTTGCAGCACTCTATCGGTGCCCCTTCCGGCTCCCTTCCCCAATCTAACGAGCCAAGCCAATCCAGTCTGTTGGTCCTGTGCCTTAGTGTCTCCTTTTGGCCCCTCGGTCTATCTCACTCGCAGCTCGTTACGATGAGTGTGGCCGAAGGGGGGCAACTGGGCAACAGCTCCCGTGAACGTATATACATTTGGGTGGATAGGATGTGCATACCTTGAGGCGCTCTCCGCGCCTGCCCTACTGCTCAAAAAGCCACCCGGCTCCATCACTCCATTATATCCTACCCTCACTCGCCCTCTTCTACCTTCTTCCGTCCTGCTTGTCTCTCCTTGAACGACCAGTCAACACGTCCAACTTTCATCGGATACCGTTGCCGACAAGAGACGTGAAGCACTTCTCAGATCAACCGTCTCATCGATCTCGCCATATCACCGACACTCCGCATTCCTATACGAACATCTTTGACGACCTTTCGGTTACTGGGCTCCTCTCTCTCAAGCCACCCCGGACGTGGCATAAAACCTTAATAAGAGCTGTGTGCCAGCCCGGTTTGTTAGCTTGAATCTTGACCTGAGCAATATAACCTGCCCGTGCCTGCTCCTGGCTTTGCTGTCTGCCCATCGAGGCCGTAGACTTCGACTCAACTGCATCCCGAGGTGCTAAAGGTCGCCAATGCCAAACGGCTCTCCCATCTACGGCATCACTTCACCTTCTCAATGGGTATTCTAGCTCTGGAACCTCATCCCCGTTTGGCCGCTCCAGACTCTCCGCCCGGGCTGGTTAGCCCATCATCATCATCTTACTCTTCCAGGCCATCTCCTCCTGTCGAAAAGCTCTGGGACGCCAGGTTTGGTCCCATATCCCCTCCCATGTCCAACTACGAGCATGGCTCGGCGGCCGATATGTCGACCGCCGGCAAAGGTGCTCAAGGCGGTTCGACTCGTAAGGATTCGACACAAAGCGCTCCTCGCCAGCAACTGCCATCATTGAGCAGTCTGTTTGGACCTCCTCCACCACTCCGGCCGTTGCATTCTCCGCTAACCGAGCGGCCGGCCCCTTACCCGGCGACATCTCCCTTGGACCGCCCGCGTATGCCGCAACCTCCCAACGATCGCTCTTATGCCACATCGTACTTCCCGCCTCAGGAAAGCTCTCCAACGATGTCCCAGCCCAGGAGTACCTACGATGCCAGATATGACCACGAGAGGCAGGCCCTGCATGGCTTGTCCCGTTCCTTCTCCGGTCCTGGATCACCGAGATACCGCGAATCCGAACACATGCGTCCCGAGTCGAGATCTGACGTTGGGTTGAGCAGCAAGTGGTCGATGCATCATGACGCTGGAAAGCACGAGTACGCTCTGGTATCCAGAGAGAACCAGCCTCCACTACGGGCTTCCCATGACAGGATGTCCTATCAGTATTCCAGCAACAAAGACTCTGGCTCTTCCTACCGAGATCAGCGCTCCCCTTCTGGACCTGGTCTCTTGCAGGCATCGGCGTCTGCCAGCACAACGAACTCAGAAGGAATCCCATCTAAAGATGGTCTCGGGCCAAAGATATGGACAGGAAGCCACTTTCTCCCACGATTCGTTCGTGCCGCCGAAGTGCCGGGTGAAGGGATGTGTTATTTCTACGATGATGGAAGTCACTGCAAGACGGTCATTGATGGCGAGGCAGTCAACGCTCACTGGGGTGTGACAAAGGCAGGAAAGCCAAGAAAGAGACTGGCGATTGCGTGTGTGACCTGCAGGGAAAAGAAAATCAAGTGCGACCCGGACTATCCTCGCTGCGTCCAATGCGAGAAATTCGGCAGGATCTGCAAGTTCAAGAACGCGTAAGTGGTTTCGACAAGTAGCTCGCCGTCTTCACATTACTTTACTGACATGGAGATGGCTTCTACAGACCGCGAGGTGGCCACAACACCTCCCCATCCACGCCCCCTGCTGAACCAGAGGACTTGAGACGTCTGGGAGGCTCGGCCAACTCAAACGACATGCACCGTCCTGGCAGCAACTCCAGCGCGTCTGTTTCTCCTCGAACCACGTACCGTCAGCCCAGCCCAGAACCCTCAATGCCTCACAAGAGGATGCGCCTTGGTTTCGACTCGTACCCCTCGATGCCGAGCGACTCTTCCGCCTTGATGAGCCGGACGCCAGAGACGGCAAAGGTCAACGCCTGGCAACACCGCCAGCCAATTGAGCTCCCTCGGATCCATGAGGATGTGCTTCACCGAGCATGGCAATCAGACCCGTATGTTTCCGACCCGCAGTCAGTTAGCACCGTAATCTCCTCCTTCTTCGTACACACGGACAGCACCATGGTCCTTTGTTTCTTGCCCGAGATGCCGTTTAAAACCTGGTTGACTGGTAATGCTCACACAAAGTCTCCAGAAGACCTGATGCTCACCTATAGCATCCTCGCCGTCGGAGTCACCTTGTCAGGTGGACCAAGAACAATCGCCTCCGAATACGCTCAGGTCGCACGGTACGCGCAGCAACAGCTTACACCCAGCCTTCAGCTTGCGCAATCTCGACTACTCCTGGCGGTCTATTACATATCTACGTCTAGAGCCAGTGAAGCAAACGATTTGATCAGTGCGGCCATCTCGATAGCCATCTTTCTCCAGCTAAACCTAGAACTCGACAAATCGATCGACGCTCGCCAGAAAACTTATCCATACGGCTTGGATAGAGAAGGCTTTGCTGAGAGCCGGAGGCGAACATACTGGGCATGTTTTGTGCTCGAGCGACTCAACGGCATGTTCCCCGATCGGCTTGGTAGTTTGCATCCTTTAGACATATTCATCCGGTTACCATGCGAATCGGAAGTCTTTCAAAGTCAACAGGCTTCTCAGGCACCCTTCTTCCCGACGCTCGCTTCAAGCTCGTCCAAAATGGTGGATCAACGTTTAGCCTTAACGGCTTATCTCATCCAACTAGTGGCCGTCTGGGGAGACATCATGTCTAGTGTCTACAGGAATGAACATGGTCTGCCCTCGGATGGAGAGTCAGCAGTATTTGTTGAGAGCTCCGTCAGGAGACTACTCGGCTGGCGTAAGTCGCTTCCTGGACAGTTTACCTACAGCCCAAGCAATCTGGACCTCGCTGCTCAGGATGGAACACTCAGCACATTCCTTACGATTCATCTTTTGTTCCACCACGGTCTCGTAAAGATCCACCGGCACTCGTACGCCTCGGGCCGAATAACGGCAGCAACCCGGATGCAATACCTCTCGAGGATCCAAGAGGAAGCTAAACAAGTCCTGGAGATCACGGGCATGTTGGAAGCACTACTTCAAGCTCGGCGAGCCCCACTGAGCGCGCCTCCTCCGTTCATGAGCCATGCGGTACTGGAGGCTGCCGATGTTCTCACTGCCGAGGGTTCATTATCAGAACTTCCTGTACTTTTGGACCAACTGGCTATTGCAAGCGCTATAGTCGAATCTGCAAGTATGGTTTGGGATGAGGCACGCATCCACTGGGCCGCACTGGAACATCGACAGGAGGCTCTGCGCCTTCTGCGAGATGTTCAGCCCGGAGCATCGTCACCCGTTGGTGGCAAAGTGCTCGTCAACGAAAATGGGGGCAAATGTTGGCAAATGGAGGATCCAATGGCCACGACGTATTGGCCTACCGTCGACATTGTATACACGCGGTGTTAACAGACATACACTTCCGCAACCATAGTTGTGATTGTTTTTATCATTTCCACATCTGCATTGCATTTCACGGAGTTGGAGGGCGCATTTGGACAATTGCTAATTTTCTGCCTTTTTTTTTTTTTTTTTTTTTTTTTTTTTTTACACGAGATCGGAGAGACAAGCACAGGGCTGTATGTGCAGACAGTTTGCTCTCGTTCATCTATGTAACATTATATACCCTGTATATGAGGATACCAATCCAAGGAAACAACACAACGGCCGAGCACAACTGAGAAGAGGAATAGGATGTGTGCCTCATGTGGTTGAGAGTATCTTGTAGAGTGTCTTGGCAGGCAGCCTATGAAGAACATCCTGGGCAGGATTAAACACGATAGCTACAGAATGTAGACGAAAGAGGGGCGATGAGAATACACCACCCAAGCACCTTTGGTTGAACCACACACGCAGACACACACGCACGCAGGCACACAGTCTCCGTCTGATTCTGCCCTATGTCATCCCTTTGTACCGTGAACACTGCAGAATGGGGTAGGGATAGGTCTGCATGTCTCAGGTCAGTCGCATGATTGGCATGCGGAAGGCGGCATGCGGTATGTGTCGGCTCGGCTTCTCAACGGTGCGTCTAAATCCCGGGATGCAACTCTACCTCAGGCACTTGGACCATGATCAGCGGTAGACAGGAGCTGGGGCTGAAAAAGGAGGGCGGTCTCAGCCGATACATCATACGGGTAGGTAGGGTCAGAAACGGGGGGGAGAGAGAGAGAGTGAGGAAAGACGATGGAGGGGCTAATTACGGCGGTCCCTTTTCGTTTTGCCACAACTTCTCTGCAAGGTTTTTTTGTAACCTCGATCAACCTTCACTTGAGCATTTCAACACCGAACCTTGTCTAGTTTGATCCTGCCTACGGAATACCTGAGCTAGTTCTTGGCGACACACAAAAAAAAGACAGTCGTTGGAACGGAACGTAAGCGAACCAACGACGACCTGAATCGGGTTGTCGGACCGGTGAGGCGCGACCACACACCGGTCGTGGAGGCCACCACCACCACCACCAGCCAGCCAGCTCCTACTGAAGTGCAGTGATGGGGCAGAAATACCTACCTTACCACGCAGATTCTGGAGCAAGTACGGAGTACTATGTAAGTTGTTGCCCCTCGGCATCCCTCAGTGGAGATGTCCAATCTCGCGGTGCTGCACGAAAACAGATACGACATGCAATGCAATGCGGTGTCTCTCTTTTTTTTTTTTTTTTTTTTTTTTTTTTTTTTTTTTTTTTGGCTTTCCTTCTCCCCCCTCCGCTGTTGGTCTCGTCTCGGTAAATACAACTCTGCAGATGTGCAGATTTGCTAGAGAGAAATAGGAAGAAGAGAAGGAAGGGGGAAAAGTTCCAAATAACTAAATCCGCTCTTCCCCCTTTTTTTCTTCTTTTCTTCCTGCACCCTTGGCTTTTAGCCTGCTGGATCTTGGGGGAAAGGGATCGGTTACTTTTCTGCATTCTTTTTTTCTTCTTCTGCATCTTTGCTTTCTCATCCCCCCTGTACGAAGTAATTGTTGCTGTTCTTATGTTGATTGTTCTGCATGGGTACGGTACGCGGAAGGGCCTGGATAGGCGCGGAAGACGAAAGTCGTCGAGGGGTCTTGCAAGGCCTACGGTATCTGTACCCTTACTGTCTGTTCGTACGGAGTACAATCTTCACTGACAGGAACAAGAGGGATGGTAATTAGGAGGGGAGAGAGAGAGAGAAAAGTGGCTTTTTGAAAAGGGTGTGTGCTGTTCTGTTCTGTTCCCTCCTCTGATCACATCTCTTTCCAAGTTCCTAGGTAGCCCCCCCCCCCCAATCCCATCCATTTATTTCATGATCCCAGTGGGCCATCCACACATTCCACCCCTTCTTGCTAAATTGCTCGCTCCCTACTTACCTTAAAACTCCCGCTTCCCGAAAAGAGCCTCACAATGATTCGATTTCGCCCGGTTCTGGTAGTTTTGTGTCTTGCCTTTCCCATGTCTCAATCCCCCACTCCACTCCTCCCCCCCTTCCCATGCCTGCCTGCCGGCTTTTCAAGACATGGTCTCGGAAGCTTGGGCCTTGATGTGCAGAGTGCCAGGAGTCAAGTCAGACACGGACACGGGGGATGGGAATAACCGGATCTGAGGACTCTCTCTCTCACTCACTGAGCTACGGATAATCCGCTGCTATTTAGAACGGATACGGATCTTATCTATATTCGTTCAAGTGCTTTAGTGGGCGCGTCATTCTTTTTTGGTGAGCTATCTATCAATACGTTGATTGCGAATTCCCCGTTCCTTGTGTCGCGATCGCCAAGCTTTTGGGGGAACACCCTTGATTAGATGCCGTTGACGTCCGGGCCGTGGACTGGACGACAAAGACGATCGTGAGCCCTTTTTCCCACTTCACACGGTGCGGCGGAGGGGGGTTTTTTGCCTAGTTGTTCCTAGCCTAGCCTTAAGTACCCGAATTTGTAGTCCTCTTGAACGGTTGCGCTCCAGTCGGGTGAGGTGTGCGATCACTCCGGGAGCGATACCCGGTCGTTGTAGCTGGTAACAGTTGGTGAAATCGAGATGAGATGAGATTTGAGATTGAGAGAGAGAAATGTGATTTGTTCTTCGGTATCCCGTCGTTTAACAAGAGTGCAGTCCATTTCCAGCCCCAGTTCCCAGCCTAATTCGGGTCCTGCATGGGAATACCGGGTAAATGTGCGCTGGAATGATGGGAGGAGGATGAGGCTCTGTTGTTCACTACCTTATCCAAAAAAAAAAAAAAAAAAAAAAAAAAACAACCCCATTTTCACAATGACGCCCTGTTTGCCCATTTCTCTGCGTCTGTCTGTCCGGTCTCTCCCACATTACCACGCACGCCCTGGTCGCGGGAATCCTTGATCATGAACGGATGGAAAATCAATGGATTCAGCGGCCAGCTAGGGGTGTGCGGGTTTCCCTCTCTCGCGCGCGCTACTGGAACCTGGGAAGATAGGTACCATTTTCTGCCCGTGCGCTGTTCGTTTGTCTCTCACTCAATCGGTTTCCCGCCCCGAACTCTTCTCCCATGTTCGGTCCTTTTAGCACGGTACAAAGTACTTCTTGATAGAGGATCATGGTGTAGTGTAATCCGAAATTCGGCTCCGAGGCGGATGAACTACCCATGGACGGGACCTGGGTCGCGTTTTTGCTTACCTCACCCCCCCCCCCGGGCCTCGCGAAGGGGACTACACA